TAAAAGTATAAACACTTCAAATTATAAATAGCATATAAAAAACAGTCAAACCAAAAGCAAAATTTACTCAAAAAATATTTTATACTCAATCAATACAGCACAACTATTACAATACACGCATAAATAATAATTAACCAATATAAAATTACTATCTCTTAACGAACATATTAATACAAATAACATTTTACATACAAAATTCATAAAAATAAGCATAATTTTATTTACAATATAATGTAAATAAATATATAAAGATATTTATTTTTAAATCCGGACCAAAATATTATTATATTATATATAAAATTCAAAATAATTACCCATATATATTAATTATACAAATAAATAAATCAAATCAATACATTTATTCCTCCTCCTCATCATCAATAAAATTTATACCAGACTTATACGATCTTAAAGTACTACGCAAAGAACACCCTACATAATCTTTTCTATTCTAATGACCATACATAGTATTTTCTTGATGATTCTCACTTTTTATCTTATTATCAATCTTATCCTCCTGAAAGCCATCACAAGAACTACCAATTCTAACAGACTTCATATAATTATTCTCTGTACACCCAAAAACATTCGTAGATTCAACAACTCATCATCATCTTCAACTCTAACACGCTTTGAAAGAATACTATCTGACGATGCCAAACAATCTATAAGAACTGCTGAAAATGATTCCTCAAAATTAAAGGTAACTTTAGAATTTTCATTAACATTTCGGTAAGTAAAAAGAAGCTTTGCACGAATTGAATTAACAGATTCTGTAAAACCGCAAAAACTACTATCATCAGAAATTTTTCGCTTGAAACAACTAATATCAATGTAATTAATATCTTTTGCATAAATATAAAAATCATTATCAATGACTTCCATCTGACCAACAACAAAAACAAGTGAATCATGCAGATGTATCATACTCTTCAAGTATGCAAAACATGAATTGGAATGTGAAAATACAATCTTAACTATAAAATTATGGTCCTGAATAGTATAATCACTTATCAACACATTAAAAATAGCATTCTCATTATTCTCCAGTACTTTGAGTAATTCTTGAGGAATTCTGATTAAAGAAATTTTTAACGGACATTTATTTGTCTAAACAACTCTGTTCAAAATTTCAACCTCAGTCAAAATTGAAACTCTCATCTAAAATAAAAGATAAATAAATATAAAATAATATAATATCTTAAATAAATTCAATTAATCATAACTAATACCTTTAGCCTTTTATTTCCTGCATAAAATCCAGGTATAATCTTGCCATCCACAGAAAAAAAACGATCTTTCTCAAAAATAGTCTAAGTTTTGATATCTCTATCATTAAAATGAATTGGCACAAATAACACCATCTCGATTTTATTATCCTCACGACCTACTGGATATACACCAACAGCCCACACAACGAACAAATTACTTTCTTCTTTTATTGTCTGACGAACAAGCTTTATTCTCACAATTGTATTCACGTAACATAGCATAATGCTTCTTAATGTACGTACATATAATATATACTGAATATATATTTTTTTTAATAATAAAAAAAAAATCAAAATCCCAATAAACACACTTTTATAAAATTATTAAAATAAACAACTAATATTTACACCAACATAAAATTCAACGCATAAAAACTCTACAATAAATTCAAATACATAATTCTTATGATACCTATTTCAAACAACAAAAAACCACACTTTTTTTTAAACTAAATATCAGTTTAATTAACCAAATCTGACAATAATTATAAAATCAAAATTAAACATAAAATAAATAATCATTACCAAGTAATATTCGAAAACAAATAAATAACAATCATAAATAATTCTTACGAAATTACTATACCATTCATATTTACTAACCTAAAACAATTAATATCAATAATTCTGCCATCAAAATTACTACATTATTTTACAATCATAAGACTCTAACAAAATTGAATATCTGAACCACAAAATTACATAAGCATACAACAATATTCCTATATTTTCTATAAAAATCATACTAAAATAATTATTACACTAATTATGTAATAAATTTATATACAATTTAACTGATGTCAGAACCACATTATACAATTAATTTGAGAAATAATTTTTTTTTATATTTTCACATGCCATTACACATATTAACAAAATAAAATATCATACTAATCCAATAAACCAAAAAAACATTAACTAAAAATAATTTAAAAAAAAATCACAAATTGCTCATCTAATAAGCAAACAAATAAAAAATTCTTAACAATCAAATTAACACAGTAAACAATTATAAATAAACAATCACAATATAAAACACAATATACAAAAAATTCAAAATTCTAATAAAAAATAAATTTTTATCATTTATAGATTATTATCCAAAGCCAAATAATAATTTATAAATCTCACATAATTTTACTTAACAAATCAAATATTAATCAGCTAAGAACAACATCCTTTTAAACATTCCAAAATATAATAATAAACAAAAAAGATATAATTAAATCAAAACTATAATCAAATATAAAAAGTTGTATATTCAAAATCAAATAATATACTAAAGTCTAAAAATATTACAACAAACTAAATAATATATATTATTCAAATACTGCGATAAAATTAAATATAAACACAATTATATTCTTTAC